AGTGAAAATGCCAAAAAATAAAAGGTAAGGACATTTTTCACAATAACAATGAAAAGCGGGGACGATATGTTCTAATTGTTGACCTATGATTCAATATAACTCCAATTGTTTTGATTATAACAAACACTTTTGTATTTCTAACAAATTTCGTTTGTTGAGTTTTTTTCATGTATAAATTGTCTCAATTAATCAAAGGATTCAAATCGTCATCCGTTGCATATCACTTGGAAGTGATCCGAAGAAACCAAGACTTTTGAAGAATAGAAGCTTAGAAGAGATACTTTTATCGAATCTTCAAAATTAAGTGTAAAGGTATAACTTGTCAATTCTTAGCAAGTATAAAGCTCAAAGTTATCTTTTATACATCTCATTACTTGCATAAAAACTTATCGAAATGAAATTGATTTTGGAAAAAGGAATTTATAACATAAAACTTTCAAAAACCAAAATCTGCCATTTCGGTCTACCGAAAGGTAGTCGACCGAAATTTGAATTTGAATTCAGATATTCCAACGGCAGGAAAATAGTACAAATGGCAACTTTGGACTTTCGGTCGACCGAAACGTCTCAGCCGAAAGTTCCTGCCTTCACTATTTTGCTCTATAAATTGACCTCTCTTTTTATTCTACAAACACACTTTACAAGATAATTTTTGAGAGCCTTTATATTGAGAAATCTTTGAGTCTACATAAGCTTCTATCAAATTCATTTAGTGTAAGAATCTTTTATTTGTTTTGAAAACTTATCATTCATCTATTTCATTAAAAGATTCCATTTGAGCAAAGAAATCTTCATTTTATCTATTCTCTTATTTCTTTACTAAAGCATTTTCTTTGCCAACACTTGTTTAAGTGCAAATCTCTCTCTATAATTAATTTTGTATTATTTGTGAAGAGAGATTCATTGGTTGAAAACTTTGGCACATTAATCTTCACTATTGCATTAGTTATCATTCATCAAAGTTTTGCAACAAACACTCGAGCTTAAATATATTTGCTATTGATTGAAGTGTTTTCCTAAACTCTCTAAACACTTGATTTGATTATATCATTTGTCAAGAGAGTTATTTCAAATTGTAAAATTATCATTTATATTTCGGTGGTTTCGAGAACCTTGTGAAAACTCGATTGTTGTTAAGGATAAGTGCTCCTTGTTGTAAGTCACCTAAGGATAAGTGCTCTTTGTTATAAGTTACTTAAGGATCAGTACTCCTTGTTTGTAAGTTACCATTATAGTGTATTTTTTATAATATTTGCGTATTCACTATATTAGAATCTTGAGTAAGTAACGAAAAAGTTTCAATAACCAATTCACCCCCCTCTTGGTTAGTTATTCTTGGGCTAACACTAATTACCCCTCAATCTAATTTTGTGAAATTAAACAGAATCAAACTTTTTCGATCTAGTTCGATAAAATCAAAAATTAATCCAACATATGCCGTCGCCTATCTCCTTTAACCCAAAATGTCCATTATTAAAGTAGAAGTGCATGATACTTAGGGCATAATTTTTTTTTTTTTTAAAGTGACTTTTCAATTAATGGCCTAAATTAGAACCTTGTTACACTTACATGGACTGGTTCACGGAGTTCATACAAGAGGGGTACATGAAGAAGGAAGAATCACATAGATACTGTTATAGCAGCACCTGTTAAAAATTAGTGAAGAAAACCTTTGTACACTTACAGTGCGTTTGATTGCGAGCACGATATTTGCATGAAAAGAAAATAAATTCTATACAATTCAATTTGTCTAGAACTTATTTGTATGAAAATTATTAATTAAATGTATTTGATTGATTTAGTTTTCAATCTAAAAAATATTATACCTATCCATTTTTTAGTGATAAATAAATGAGAGAGAGAGAGAGAGAGAGAGAATTACCTAAAAAATAAAGGATCATATCTCTATAAACAAAATATTATCTTTGTTTTCAAATAAAATATTTTCCCCTAAATTATTATATCTAATCCATTATTAAATTTCTTACCAAAAATGATCCCTCGGCACTTTTGGTTGTCTTCAATTATTATGAATGAAATTTCACGAGAATAGATCTCTTAGTGGAAGAGTAGGTGGCTATATAATAAAATATTATTTTCACTAAATTATTTCAAATAAAAAACATTATAATGTATTACTTTCAAAAAATTATTTCAAATTAACTAAACTTCGATTTCAATAAAATGATATTTCTTCATATTCTAATCGCCGAATCAAATGATTGTCACTAAGTCTAACTCTCGTTGGCTTTTTGTTTATTTAATTATATATATTTTGTCAATGATGTAATAAAATTATCGAATAAATAATATTTTAATCAACTATTTAAAAATTAAAATGAGTAACTTAAAAAAAAAGATTAACTTACTTATTCTAGATGATAGCATAAAATCTGTGGTCATAGATTTTGCTATGTTGCTTCTTTGACCGACGCAACAATGTAATTTTGTTGACCTTTTTTTTTTTGGTTTTGATTTTCTTTCAAGATCTTGACTAATAAATTAAAGCCACCGACGATATTATTTCTTTTGAATTTTACATTTGTACTTTCTATATAATTTAATGTTAATTGTGATGACAACCATAATGAAGAAATTATAACTCGCGTAAGTTTTCTACTGAATTTTCACGTTCATCTTAAAATGTCGACTGTATTAAGAATTGCAAAATAGTGACTTATTTAAAAATACTTGTATTAAAATTTGACTTCTCGTTTGAGTTTGTGAAAGCTTGTAGAAGCAATATTGTTTGGAGGTAGAAGTCCCATATGTCATGAACTTCTTTTCTCCAAAGAAGAAGCAATGTTTGTATTTAGGGAATAACCATAGTCTAACTCTAGATGAATCGGATTTGCTTATCTACTAAAGGTTGGGGACAGGAATACATGTTCATTACTATATATAACATACTCTAGCAAGATAGTAACTTGTTTGAGAATGCTTATGTTAAAATTTCACTGCTCCTTTGAGTTTTTTTCTGAAATTTTTGAGCGAAGAACATGTACCAACTATGTAACCCCTCTTATATTGTGTGCAGGTCACATGTTTAGTTAACAACAAATATTGATTGTAACCATAGTTCATGATTAACTTTGCTTGTCTTCACTACTATATTTAACATACTCTCATGGGATAGTAACTTCTTTGAGATCCTTCGAGTATTTAGACAGCCAATTGTTTGTTTGAATTCTAATACCATGTTGAGTTTTAGGTTATAAAATAAGTGAAGAACATGGACCCAACTATACAACTTCCCAATATCGCGTGCAGGTCGCATGTTTAATAAATGGCAAGAATTGTGGGTAATCGTCGTTCAGAATGAACTTTTTTCTTCTTTGAAAGTTGGAGACTAGAATGGGACAAAAAAATTGTTGGGATCAATTTTGCAAATTTACCCTAAATACACACATAATGACAAATCAAAGAACATAAAATAAAGTTAATTATGTGATCTCCGATAAAAAAGGAGGTTTTTCAGCTTAATCAGTTCTTATTGATTGATCATGAATCAACTGGGGCCCAGAAATAATCTATTTTTTGATTGACTTATTTGTTTAATTAATTGCTTCATTGAATTATTTAAAAAGTGGTCCTTTCATACTTTAACACGTTACGCACATGTGGTCACCCCAAGGCCCAATTATAGTAGTTAGCCAAATCCTATAGATTAAATGAATAAATTTGTTCTTTGTATTACATCTAAATGACTTAATTTTATTGTCACCTATTTACTTAATTGATCAGTAAACGTCAATACAGTGATTCAATAAAGTATAGACAACTTAAACACTAACGTTTTGCAAATTAGACCATGTGTTGACTTGAAAAAGAGAAAGATCAAAACGAGATCAATTCGACTGCCAAAAAATATCAATTTTAATTATGTTACTGATCAATTTCGGAACTGAAACACAGGGTTCTTGATTGAATATGATAGCTTTTAAGTTTTCAATCTTCGGTCTATTACGTCCCTTATTTTTTCAGATGGACAACTAGCCAGTTGAGTTGGATTCAGTTTTTATAACAGGTTAATAACTAGATTTTATTAGGATAACTGAACTTTTTTGGGGGGTACAAAACCTATTTTTATCTTTCCTTAATTTTATCTAAATATACTGATTATTACTACTAAAAGTAATTTTTAAGGTCAACTGTCAACTGTCTTTCATTAAAAGGTGGCACTGTCAAATTTATTACATCTTTCAACCCGGTAAGAAAGACATAGAACACACATAAATCTGCATTTTTCTCAACAAATTTTTGCCCAGAAAAATTGAAATATCTGCCCTGCCTGAGTTCCCATTGGTTGCACTGTTTTCTTCTCTCTCTATATGTATAATTATATGCTTATATTTTTCTCTTCTCTCTCTAAAAGTGTAGAATATATAGTGCCAGGCTGCCACCTCCTCCATTTCCGCTCTGGCTTCTGCTTTAAGCTCAATTCTGGGAAACCCTTTGGGAGAGGATAACAAATAAGTCCTTTTTAAAGAAAGAAAAAGCTTCCACACAGAAAAGATACACGTATGCATTTATAAAGAGTTTGTGGCCTTCTGCAATTTGTTGTGTTTTCTTTTTGTCTTTGAAATCTCATAAATATTCTCCTTTTCCACTGGTGGGTTCCCATTCTTATTATATCTTATCCTATCCTATCCTGTTCAACCATGAAGTTTTGATGATATATTTAATTCAATATTATGTAGCAGATTCTGGGAATATATATGGCGATTATATGGGAGATCTTTGTGTTTTTAGTTTGTCTGTAATTTGCAATAAATTTTTGGATGCAAGGTGGTTGTGTAAATGCCTAAATATGCTTTAAGAAGCAGTAAAATTCTTGATTAACTAATAATTCATTAATTCGTAGGGGCCCTTTTATCAATTTCTCACTCCATCATACTTTTCTTGTCCTCTCGTTCTTCTTTCTGTTTTGGGCCAATCTTTAAAATCAAGTGACTGTTTACTGTAATTGAATGAACCATTATCAACATCAGTAGCAACAGATGCGGCAAAATATGCAGGAGGTTGGCTCTGGATTGAAGCGATATCGATCTGCGCCAAGTTCTTATTTAACAAGTCTTTTAGATAGTAGTTCTAGCAGTGGTGGATTTAGAGGAGATGATTTTGATCAGATTTTTAATACTCGAGCTTCGAGTCCTGAAACACAGCAAATTCTTGAGAGATTCATGAATAGTAGTGTTGATACCGTTGGGCACAACTACGCATCTAATATGAGTCTGCAATCACAATCACAATTTGTGCCACAAATCAAGAATGAAATTGAGGTTCATCAACCACAGCAGCAATTGAGGAGGCAGCAGAGTAATGATTATTCTTCAGCTTCCCAGATGACGTATCAGAGCCATAATTCAGGGGATGCAAGTTCTTCTATGGACATTTCTTCTAGTAGATTGCATGGCTCAACGAATTCAGATCGTGTGGCGCATATGAGAATGGATGGTAGTGGCTGCAGTTCAAATCTCATTCGACAAAGCAGTACGCCTGCTGGATTATATGCTAATATAAATATTGATAATGGTAATTTTCCTAGAAATTTCTTGAGTATCAATTTTGCTTTCTATATATATTGTTTTCTTTTGTTTCTATCAATCATGTTATATGATATTAGGGATGAATCTCCTTTAGTAATTTGCTTCATGTGCTGGTAGTTGCATTTTTCTTACCTGAAAGTTTTAATCCTTTCTCATTGCTATTAGAGTATACAATTTGGGGATTTATACCAGTGGTGGGAAGCCTATTATGGTAGATTGAATACTCGTTTATTGATTTTTCATATTTGAAAATGTTGGGCAGCTTCTATGTCTTTCCATTTAGTGTTTATTAACCTATTAAAATAGACTAAATCATTAGATGTTTAAAAAATCAGAATAAAAAATGAGAAAGGGTTCGAAATAAACTCTCATTTCTTTTCTCTTGGATAATGATCATCGTTGTTGCTTAAATTGGGCATAGATTCCTAGTTGAAAATTGTTTTGTTATGTACTAATTTTATTTTGCAACAAAATTTTGAGACAAATCTCTGAAAATGTTTTAGTGATTCACAGAATTTGGTGCAATGAGAAGCCTGGGGAATTTTGGAGCTGGTAATGGTACTCGTGCAGGAGAATTGTCTTCCTCTGCAAGCAGGTTTATTAATCAAATGGTTTACCCCTCAATGAATCGTTCCTCTTTGGGGATGATGACTCCCATTTCCGAAATTGGAAGTAAAAGCATTGGAGAAACTCATCCAGGTGACGAACATTTTCAGGAAGATCGTGCTAATGATGGCGACTATATCACAGGTTTCCCAGAAGTTTCTTGGAATGATTCATCAATTCTGTCTGATGATTTTATGAAAGGGCTAGGAGATGATGAAAATAAGACATTTTCAAATATAAACGTCTTGGATGATCAGGTATTTTCTGATAATAAAACATTTTTTATTTTTTCCAACTTATTGGTTCTGATGAGAAACAACAACTATGCCGAGCAGAATTCTGAAGGTGGAAATCGTCCCACTACTATATTGTCCCACCATCTAAGTTTGCCCAGTAGTTCTGCCAAGATATCTGCAATGGAAAAAATGTGGCAGGATTCGGTACCTTGTAAGATAAGAGCAAAACGAGGTTGTGCTACTCACCCACGTAGCATCGCGGAAAGGGTAATGCTCAACGTCTAATTCTCTTTTTGTCATTATAAGTGAAAAACATTCTACTATTCCATTATGTTTATGACCATTTGGCAAATAGAAGTGGACTTACTGGTTTTCAATGTCAACAAAAATGTGGAATCTATACTCTAGATCAATGAATTGTGCTTGAAAATTTTATGGAATTGTTATAGGTGAGAAGAACACGAATCAGTGAGCGGATGCGGAAGCTACAAGAACTTGTTCCCAATATGGAAAAGGTGAAGTCGTTGATAACATGTATCAATTGTGAATCTATATATCGTCCAGTTCTCGTTTCTTCTTCTTTTTTTTTGAGGTTGTACTTAATTTTTGCAGCAAACGAATACATCAGATATGTTGGATTTGGCTGTTGATTATATTAAGGATCTTCAGACACAAGTAAAGGTATACATCCTTAAAAGCTTGAATTACACTGGACTGAATCCCTTAGCATCAATAACATCCACTTTTGGATCCTTGTTAGTGACGTTTTCCTTTTCTCTTCGACTTTTTAGACCCTTTCAGAAAAGCGTGCAAAGTGCTCTTGTTCAGCTAAGCAAAAATCATAGCCAAAAGGCCCCAGCTGTAAGACTTCATCCCAAAAGAACAAAAGTGGTCTAAAAAAGAAAGGTACTTGATTTTCTCCGGCACATATTGGAAAATAAGTGATTAGGTTAGCATTTTGATGGGGGTGAAGAATAAAGAGGCCTACAACTGATGTATTATAGAACTAATAGTGGCTTGTTCGGTAGGAGTATGGTACAAAACCGAACAATGTCGAAAAAGAAAATCAAAATCTTGTTCATTGTACTTTCCAGTACTACATACCAAACATATGTTGTATTTCTATATAATATTTATGTGACTTCTCGTGCTTCGGTTGAGGAACTCGACCAACTCTTTCATAACAAACAAGTGAAATAATGAAAAGCATTTAGCTTGATACCCTCCTTTTAACATTCTCTGTACTTTAGGAATGTTATACAGAAATACATCAACATCCTTATGATTGCAAAAAAAGGTGATACTTCCTGTTTGAATTCAGTTGGCTGCATTCATTTGCTATATTCAAAGCAAAAAATGAATTTTTCCCCAATTCCCTTTTGGCTTTTGCTGATATTATGCTGATGTCATTTTGACGTTAGCCTCTAGGAAACAACTTTAGATTATCTAACCCTTTGTAATGTGCTTCTACTGCCCTTAGCTACCCAAAATAAATTCTTTTGCAGTCCAAATAAAGGTAAAAGATTTCCTTCTTAATGTTCCCAAGTTTGAACATTTTGTTCAAATTGTAAGGGCATAGATTATCCACATAAACTTTGTGACTTTTTTTTTGTTAAAGCGGACTTTATAATACTGAACAATAGAACAATTGAATGATAGAGGTAGGATTCTGTCATTCTACCTGTGTGAAGTGGTCCAGTATTAAGTGGCTTTTTGAAGACATATCCTTT